GAGTGAGGAAATTCGAGTAGTTTTGACCCAGAAAGCGACATTTGAATATCAAACACTTAGGTTCAAGATTATGCCAAAATTTCATGTTTTCCGGTCCGTTTTTGCTCATTTCTCGGAGGCAAAATGAGCACGAACGCTCATTTGTACATCATTCTAGACAGAAATAAATGGCCTTTTTAGAAAGTGAACCATGGATGGGGAATTGTTGGCCGTTTTCTCAAAAAATGCTTGAATTCAAGAAGTTTCAGATTTGCGTGGTTTTCTTTTGAGTTGCAAAATCCACTTGAACATGACGCTGCTTTTTTCGAAGTTTCTCAAGAACCATTCGAGCCAGAGAATTCGTTTTGGCATCGTTGGATAGAGAATTGAAGGGGGTCATAACCCCCATGACCCCCCACCTGGATCCGCCCTTGAATTCATGTGTAGTGATATTCTCATTACTGTGAACACTGTGATCCAAATTAAAAAATGATATGCAATTTGTGTTAAGTTTGATCAATGAACCTGAAGCTACACACGTTATTAAGCAGTTAATTTACTTGTCTCCAAAATGGTAAGAAATGCATCCTAAATACAAGGCAAATCAGTTGCAAAATCGATGTTTTTGGTAAACTGAAGCGTTAAATAAGAGTGTCGCTATAAACAGTAGCTTACTTTCAATCTGTCCATTGCCCTAGACGTTCGAACTACTGTAGCAGCGGTTGTGCGAAATTTTGAATGGTTTGATCCACTGGACTGACTAAATCCTGGATCACTAATAACGCTAGATTCCATTAAATTAGATGGAGACTTGTTTGGGTCAGGACTGTTGTCTTTGGAAAGTGTACCGGAAGACCCAATACCACCGTGCATTTTGCTCATGAAGGTCCTTGTTAGAGAATCCCTGTGAGAACAATATTTTAGTCTATCTATTTAGTCCATGTATAATATATTTGACTTAAAAATACTTCAGCTTAAAAGATGAAATCATTATGAAAGGCCGAGCGGTCAACTTAATATTGAAAAAAAAAAAATTAAGTACAACAATATTTAAACTTATTAGGCTAAAAATGCTGAATAGTATCAACACAACTAAACATATACTATTACGCTGAGAAATTCTCTAATTCGCGTAATCTTATTAAAAAAAAAATACTATAAGACCTGTGAGTACGTTAATATATATACCTAGATTCTTCTTCAGGAGTACACATTATACTAGGGCTGAGAAGAACCACAGGAACGCTGCTAAAATGATCCATGGGGATGTTCATTTTGCAGTAGCACTTGCTACATACGGTTCGTCGGCAAAGCGTGCATCGCTGACCCCATGGCCCAAAAATTCCAAATCTAAACATATTATTCATTATACACAGTGGAAAGAAAGACGTAAAAGAATTAATGAGGTAATAATATAAAATTCCAGTGCTAAGCCGCGAGTACTGATGTTTGGAGTTTCAGCAGTCCTATTTAAAACCTTTTCCTCAGCGATCGCATTTCGTACTTGAGGACGACCTATACCAGGATTGGATATTGTCCAGTCTCTTGCAAATGTCCGGTAATCTTGAACGTGTCGATTTGGACATGGAAACGCGTACGCTCTCACGCAAGTTGTCTTCGCCAAACCCTAATACCTTTGAACCACGACTCTCAAGAATTCATTACTTGTCCTAAGCGGATGAACTTGCTATATCAAAATATGGGTCTCACATCAGAACAAGTTCACAGCGAGTTTCATTAACATCCATCGCACCATTCTTCAATATTGCAAGAGATATTTTTTTGAGGAACTTTAGCCATCAATATTAGAGGCACCGGATGTTTTCTTTTAAACAAAAGTTAAGTCAGATCGTCTTCCTTTGAGCCAAAGAATGGTTTGATCCAGCACCCTTTTGATCATGGCTTACGGGACACCCTGATAACAAATGAATAATCTATTTTCTGTTTCTCCATTTCTTAAATATAAACCCGTTTTAGTACTCGTGAAATATACGGTTCAGCATTAATATCTAAGACACCTTGAAGGAAAAACAGTTTTACCTTGTTTTAAGGCACAGAAAGCATACTTTGCGGCTTTCAACATCATGCCGAACTTTGCCTTCTGTAGGCAGTGCCTCAACTTCGGCCTTTGTAAGAACTGTCCGGATATGTACAATTTCGGCCAATGTTAGTGAAAGTCTGAAAAAGACACGGCATAAAATTGCATGCTCTAAAATAGGTTTCGAAACTGCTTAATTTAAGGTATTCTTTAAGGAAAAACTAAAATTTAAGAAGGACTCAAACCACACGTTCGTCATAGTTGCATCAAGCGGTTAATGGTAGATGCATGATTAGTTAATAACTAGTTAAAATTAATAAGCACACATCAGTTTATTTCATCAAAATACCTGTCATCAAGAGAAATGGAATCTTGCCAGCTCTGGGAGCTGGTAAGTTCATCTTGAAGCGCTCGAGCCACTTCTGGTTCCAAGGGCATTGTTTCGGATTCCGTACTATTACATGATTGTCGAGAGCCTGGCCGTGATTGCGGGACTGAGTAACATCCTGCAGGAATTTCAGTAACACCTGATACAAGAGATATTAAGTGTTGCTTTTCAGAATTTTGATTGGCAGCGGTCAACCCTACCCAATGTGTTTCTTCGCATGTTCAAGGAACAATCCTGCGTAGCTAAGTCATAAGCCTCTAATGTTCCGTCACAGCTATTTTGATACTCGGAAGCCCATAAACCTTAAACAAAACATACAGGGTGTTTTTCTGTGCTGGACACGCGATGATTTAACTTAATTTGTAAAATCCAGAAGTGGACGGGTTTCAAAGTATTAGGTCAAAGCTAAAAAAGATATAAAAAACATTTTTGTAATGCAAACGAAGTTTCGTATAGGATTTTTTTCTGGGGTGACACATTATTGGTGTATAAAACAGGTATTTTACCAGGTTCGCTAGAATCTGGAGTTTCAGCTGTTGAAGGTTCATCATCGTCATCATCTTCGAACTGCGAAAAGTCTACTTTAATGAGACGCCGGCCAGCTGGTTTCGGTTGCTCTCTATCTACACCATAACGATATGATGTCCTTAAACATAAGTCAATTATTCAGGTGTATTCTTTAAAATATTGTGCTGTTTACACATCACCGTGCTACGGTTAAGCAAGCGAAACTTTACATACTTCTGTTAACTAACATTTACACTAATTTATACTTAATACATTTATTATTTATCCGACTTACCTAGGAAGAGGAACGGGTTTTAATTTTCTTCCTTTCGTAATTGAAAGAAGCAGTTGCTCCCTGGGGGTAAGCGTCCTTAATTGAGGAGCCAACTTTCGCTCTGAGGCTTTTCGCAATGGAGGCCTTGATCTTGAAAAAAACGATTAACTAGATATGTTGATGTTAAACGGGAACGAATTTTACCTAATAAAGTCCAAAATTATCGCATGGGCGTCTTTGGAAACGCGACTGGGAAGATTTCCATCCACCATAATTTTCCTTAAATTGTATTTGCAATTTCTTATATCCTTCATGAGTATTTGATAGGGTGTTAGTTCATATTCAATGGGTGCTTTACTGAAATTCACTTTTTTCAACTTCACACCTATAAGAAAACAAAAAATCCTTATCAATGGGTTTGACCCAGTGCCCTAAACTATACTTTTTTCATTTTTATGATTCTACGTTCAAATGTGTGCTAACAATAAATGGCGAAATTTGATCTAATGATTGGTAAAGCGGTTGATGAATATTTCATAAATACCTGTTCTTAATTCACTCATAACCTGTATCCACAATTTTGCCCAATCAGTAAAGTTTAACTCATCCATGTTAAAATTAGCCGAACTCGAAGGTAAACTTATCGTGCCTTGTGCAACTTTTTCAAGAAATGTTGATAGTTCGATGGCCTCAGCTACTAGCGCTCTTACAACGGCCTTGTAGTGAGCTTCAGCTTGTGACTTTGTTAAAGTACCTGTAAGACACGAAAGAACATTGTTATCTCATTTTGATTTTACACAAAATTCTAACACAATTCAAGAAATTATGATGATAACAAACAGAAGATGAGGCTTTTCTTAGAAGTTGTTTAGATAAATATTTTACCTAAATGTACTTCACATCTTTTAATAACATCTACCAACTTTAAGCGATTGTTTTCTCCATTACACTTTGAAGAGCCAGCTGCATAGTGTTCCTCGGAGTCTCTCTCGATACCTATTAAAACAAAATCAAGCATACATTTTACTAATCTAAAAGAAAGATTTCTTTCTCTCATTTTATTACTTTTAACGGATTTATCAGTTAAGTTATTTAGAAATCTTGATTACCTAGTGGAAAAAAATGTAGGGTTTGATTAATATAATTTGTTTTAAGCGATTGAAAAATTAAAGTAAATTACCCTCATCATCAGTTTCATGATGAATTTGAGATGTGGAGTTCAAATCGTCAGATATCATGTCAGTAATCAACTGCTCCAACTCGCTGCTGATTATCACTTCTTCACCTTCGTTGAACTCATGGTCTAATGTAGCATAAACTACTACGCCAATGCCAGCCACTACATCCTTCTCGCAACTAAAACCAAACAATAAAAAATGTTGAATATTTAATTACTAAATTTAAACACCCTCATGTCTGTAGATGAGTATGGGCTATTTACGCAATTTAAAGGTCGTCTGAGAACCGTGCTAAAAAATTATATCAGCAAAGTTAACACGTGAAATGAACAGGCAAACGAAAATTGAGAATTGGACTGAAGAAACTATAAATTTGTCCCTCTCATCAGTTGAGGAGAATTCCAATATGTTTATTTCAATGCCTGCATTCATTACACAAGCATTATTATTCTGAATAAAAATTTAAACTTCTGCAATTCGTAACAGTCTGGCTTGAAACCTTTCAAAGCCTGCACGTCTGATATTATTTCCAATCTAACAAACAAATATCTAGAATAACACCGAACTTACTTAGGTAGAGATCTGAGAATGCAGTGTGTTGTTCCGTTACTGAACTAATGAAAAATTTATCATAGGGATACTGCCATGGATTGTAGGTGGGCATAAATGTTAATACATTTGTTTTTAAGATTTACCTTAGCAGCTCTCTTACTTTCTGCCTTGCCAAGCTGGTGTTTTCATGTATAGTGCCATCAGTATTCAGGAAAACATGCTGTACCTCAGTTATATTATGAATATGTTGTTTTTTGGCAACCAAAGAATCACAAAAATACCTACAAAGTTGATAACACAATGCCCATGCATGCTCTTCTTTGATACACGAGTTAAACGAACTAAGAATATCACTCAGACACACACTACCGTCAGTATTTACGTTACATTTTCCTTTTTCGGACATTGTTTAAAGACAATTACTTATAATTTTGATACTTTGACATTTTTATCTAACCTATAAATCGATTCAGATGGGAATGACAGTTAACCCAAATAAACTGAATTCATGTTGCTTGCATCACCTCTACAGTACCGCGGCCGCACCTATCAGTAGATTTACGTCAAACTTCATGCTTGTGCAAGCATGTTAACAAAGGAAACATCGGTAAAAGTATGTCGCGAATAGGTTCACACTGTAAACCCAATTGGCAAAGTGAACAGTTTATTGATTGGATCTTGGTTCAGACATGCGCTTTATGTTCAAACCCATATTGACCCGTCCATATCCTTTGACTTTGACAAGTTTGCTTTAATCTCACAAAACCACAGAATACCTCTGAATACTGAGTAGTCTGTGCTGTGTGAACCACAGAACATCCTCCCTTTCTATGCTGTGAAC